ACATGACGGTAGTGAGATTTTCAGCTCAACCTCTCATTTTCCACCACTTATGAACCCATCAGCTATCGTCCAAAAAGTAGGTATTGTTGAGATTCACGAGACAGTCGGATTTAACAATATATCCAGTGTTGCCAATGACCCGATAATTATCGAATTCTACCATAATTTTGACTACGATTCAATAATCGATAACTAACAAGCTAATCTACCATAATTAATTGAAACTACAATTTTAATATAGATTTTTCAAATTTCTATTTAAAAATTAATCGCTGTATGCAACATCCTCTTTAAACTTAAAAGCGCTTTTCAAAACTGGTACCTTTAAAAATTTGTATGGCTTAGAACACAGAATCTTAAAAGTGACTAGTTTTAAAAAGCGCTTTTAAGTTAAAAGAGGATGTTGTTGAAGGTGGTTGTTGGTTTTGAGTGTTTTGACGTACTGGTGCGAGCACCAAACCTAGTCCCAGATTGAGCTAAAGTTTCATGCTAATAACTTTACTGGTTTCCAAAATATGGCCCTTTGAAACATTTGAAAATCAAATTCCCATGTATACCCCTTTGGAAAAATTAGAATTTTTAAATTTTTGGATTTTGCAATGTTTGACTTTACCAATCAAAAGAGGAGATCGAAATTAGTGAAAAGGCATTTTTGCAACTTTGTTTTTAGAGTTTTAAAGCCTTGTAAAAAAATAAAAACGATTTTTGCAATTTTTGGGCTCAAAAAATTTCAATAATCTGACATTCTTTCACAAAATTGCTGATTACTCGGTTATTATTGTAACAAATATGATCTAAAATTATATATTCTGAATCAAAATTCAATTATCTTCAAGATGAAATAAGATTCAATTCTATATCTTAAATACTTCTGAAGATATTGAGGCTCAAAGTTGAAACTTTATCTCAAATTTTGCAAAAGTTTTCAGGCGGATTATCTTGAAAACGAAGCCCTTGGGCTCGGAGTCTTATATAACCTCTTTTGTAGCCCTTATTAAGAGCTACAATTGGACAAAAGATTCATGCCAATAACTTCTCTGGTTTCCAAAATATGGCCTTTTGAAATATTTGGGAATCAAATTTCCCTTTGGAAAAGTTCGAATTTTTAAATTTCCAGTTTTTCGAATTTTTTACTTCACCAATCGAAAGAAGAGGTTAAAATTAGTAGAAAAGCATTTTTTTTCGCAACTTTCCTTTTTGGGTTTTAAAGCCTTGTTAAAAAATAAAATCGATTTTTGCAATTTTTGGGCTCAAAAAAATTTCAATAATCTGATATTCTTTCACAAAATTGCTGATTACTCGGTTATTATTGTAACAAATATAATGTAAAATTATATATTCTGAATTAGAATTAAATTATCTTCAAGATAAAATAAGATTCAATTCTATATCTTAATTACTTCTCAAGATATTGAGGCTCAAAGTTGAAACTTTATCTCAAATTTTGCAAAAGCTTTCAGGCGGATTATCTTGAAAACGAAGCCCTTGGGCTCGGAGTCTTATATTACCTCTTTTGTAGCCCTTATTAAGAGCTACAATTGGGCAAAAGATTCATGCCAATAGCTTCACTGGTTTCCAAAATACAAGCATTTGAAATATTTAAAAATCCAATTTCCATGCATACCCCTTTGGAAAAGTTCGATTTTTTTAATTTTTGGACTTTGCAATTTTTGACTTTACTAATCAAAAGAGGAGGTGAAAATTAGTTAAAAAGCATTTAGGCAACTTTGTTTTTAGGGTTTTAAGGCTTGTAAAAAAATAAAAACGATATTTGCAATTTTTGGGCTCAAAAAATTTCAATAATCTGATATTCTTTCACAAAATTGCTGATTACTCGGTTATTATTATAACAAATATTATATAAAATTATATATTCTGAATCAGAATTAAATATTCTTCAAGATAAAATAAGATTCGATTCTGGCTCAAAGTTAAAACTTTGTCTAAAATTTTGCAAAAGCTTCAAAGCCGATTATCTTGAAAACGAAGCCCTTGGGCTCGAAGTCTTCAATAACCTTTTTTAAAGCTCTAATTGAGAGCTACAATTGCCAGAGTCCCAGCTAGAACCCAAAAAATAAAAATAGAGATAAAAAGTCAAAAAAGTTGACATAAACTTTTTCTGATAATTTTTTTTGGAATCTGATAATTTTGTTCTCAAATCCTGATAATTTTAAATTTAACATCTGACAACACTGATCTTATCTACTTGTAGGTACATTTTTACCGAATTCACCTTTAAAACTATCGTATTTATAAACTTTTATCAACCTTCACTGTAAATTAATAGTTCTAACTTAGTTATACAGTTCACAATAATTCAGGTATTTCTGAGTGGCATCGATTGCCGAAAAAAGGTATCATTGTAATATTTACATAATATGAATAAATAGCGCTTGTTTTAAAACTCCTTTCCCTAATCGGTCTATGAATTATTCGAAAACTTAAAACAAAGTGTGCTCAAAAATATAAGAGAAAAGAGCCAGAAACAATTTCAATTCCTAACTTACCACAATTTTATTTTATTGCATTACCGTGGTCGGAATTTTAATGCCATTGTGATATTTTCTTACAATGTAAACTATGTAGTTTCAATAGAAAATGTTTATTTTGAGTTCTCCAATCTTTCGACAATTTATATTGAGTCGTTCAAGTAAATTGGATTCAATAAAACCTTTTCCGTTTCGCAATTGAATAAAGCAAATAAGGCATCGGCTCTCTGAAGTGACCTTTTTACCTTTGTTGTGATTCTTGGCAATCAGGTGAGCAACAAAGAAGTTTTCAAAATAATTGAGTTTTCATTCAAATTTATAGGTTGTTTTCCATCATAAATCCTAAATTAAGGCATAATAATTTACGAACATAAAACTGTCAATATTGAACGCAGCAACACCTAAATTTGCATGCTTACCCATTAGGCCCTAAAGTTTTGTTGAAGAGAGTTATTTATGGAGCCCTCCTTCCACTTATCCCAAAAGTGATTTTGTACCTAACGTTATTGTTCCAAGAATTCAGATTCCATGGAAATTATCGTGCAGTGCATTTCATAGAGAATTTCAAAATGGGTCGAGAGTTAGCATTGGAAACATAAAAACGACGTAAGCGGATAAAGACATTATCATGTATACTAGGCCGTTCCAGAATTGAAACCCATTTGCAATAATCATCAGAGGCACAGACAATGAGGAAGAAAGATCGTAAAATAAAAAGAAAAGATAAAAGAAAATGAGATAGTACGAAAAGATTTGGCTCGAGGGCTTGACGACTCTTTAGAGAAATTTGTAAGTATCAATCACAAGTCGAGATGAAAGATAAAACACAAGGAACGAGTCATTATTACTCTTTGTAAATGTTTCAAAAAGATTCTTAATAATCCAATAGCGTTGTCAATAAAAGTTCTTTTTTGTTTTCAAGTTAATTAAGCTGAGATTTATACAAATTTGATGAAAGTATATTTAACTTTCCGTCTCAAAAATAGACTTATAACTTGACTTGGGTTTGGTGTCTTTTATAATTTACTTCAAACTGGAAAATTAAGGTTGAGAAAAAACATGCCAAGCTTACCAGTTTTATAGTTCATTTCGTTATAATATCGCAACGTTGCTTTTAAATCTATTACTGGAAACCGATTGGTTTATCATTGGATTTGCCAGGATTTAATGGGATTTTCCAGTTTATTTTTTAATAAGTTTTTACAAGCAATCAGGGGTCACATTTTTTTTCCAGTAAGCATAATATTACTAAACTAAAAGTACCTACAAAAAGAGATATTTCCCTTTACGTAGATAATAATTTTGATTTACTATGAAATAGGGAGAAAAACATTGTAATTTGGTCGATAGTAAACAAGGCCATGTTTCTTATCTGACATTTCTCCGTTCTATTGCCAGACAATTTTACACATTTGGGATTCCGGACTTGTAGGCTTTGGTCCATTAATATTACATTTTGACGTTGCGCCAGCAATTGCGGTAGAGATATTACATTATCAAAGGAGATGAAGTAACAAAGGACAAATTTGCAGTTTGCAGGTGAAACTTTAGAATAGGCTCAAAATCCTGAGTAAAACATTTTAAAATAAATATTCTAAAATAAAACGCATTCTAAAATTTCTGACCGCCTCTATTTTTCGAGGGTTTGGTTTGACACCTTCTGGAGTTATGATGTGTCCTAGAAATTCGATACTTTTCTGTAAAAATTCAGATTTCTCCAACTGTATTTTCATATTGATGGACATTAATCGGTCAAATACTAGTTTTAAAGAGTTTATGTATTATTGAAGGCTGGTTGAGTAGATAATGATATCATCCATATATAATAGACAGACTTTTCCTAGTAATCCTCGTGAAACATGTTGGAAAGTATCAGGAGCATTTTTTAAGCCGAAGGGCATACGTGTGTATTCGTTATAGCCATGGTCTACATTGAATGCTGTTTTAGGAATACTTTTTGGGTTCATTTCAATGTGGTGAAACGCACTGGCTAAATCCAAGGTTGTAAAATATTGAAAACTAATCTAATATATCTGCGATATTTGGTATTGGATATTTATTACTAATAGTTTTCTCATTCAACTTCCTGTAGTCGATTACTAATCTCCATTTCTGGTATGTAACATTATCAAAGGAGATGAAGTAACAAAGGACAAATTTGCAGTTTGCAGGTGAAACTTTAGAATATGCCCAGAATCCCAAGAAAAACATTTTTAAATAAATATTCTAAAATAAAAAGCATCCTAAAGTATGCACTTGAATTTTGCAAACTTCAGCTGCTCGTGTGACAACAATAAATCATTTCAGCAAATTTAAAAGAGCCATATTTCCGGCCATGAGTATCGTGCGATAAAATTTACTGCGACAAGCGAAATCCGTATTCCCGGACAGCTTTAATATTAGCGCACACTGAATCTGAATAAAATATGAAATATATATTCGAACAGGGACACGAAATCAGAAAATATGTTTATCAGAGACATTTGGGATTTGAAATTCTACGTCACTTACCTCAGATGAAGTCAAATAGCACAGTCGGGAGTCGGCACTTTCAACTGAAGCTTGCTGAACGATACCGTAACGGCAAGATTCTCGGTCGCTCATATAATCAGATCTTAAACTGTCTTGTCTATCGAATATTCCCCTGGAACAAGAAAAAAGAATCTAGAATACAGTAATTTGTATGGATGGTTCTATTCAGGAAAGGTTCTTTGTTGTATTCGGATGAAAATTAGGATTCTTTATTGAAAGGATTTGGATTGACCAAAAACAGCAGAGGGTTAATACGGTTTAATTGAACGATATCGGGGGCCCTGAGAGTAAGCCTCACAATATTCATTAATTCCGGCGTTGAAAGCTGTCAATAGCTTTATCACTAAAATACCAGAGTAGTATAGAATTTTCAGAAGCTAAATTAGGGAAATTGGCTGTATTTTCGACTCCTGATAACCATTACCTACAAATTTTTACGAATGGCAACCGGTTTGTACATGGTGGATACAGGTACAGGTTGGGATAATTATACCTAGTGTCTTGTATAACCTGACGACATATTTGTATTTTCAAAAGTCATAAATACGTATTTGTATCTGCGCTAAACTACCCTTGTAGATGTTCATATTGAGCATAAAATTATTCCCACGCATTTTATTGTCTTTCCAGATGCACAAACCCGTATCTACATTATTCGGAATAGACTTCATACAAGATGCAAAAATCATTCTGGACACCGCCGTCCGAAAATGGGGCTTCTCTAATGATCCAGAAAACATCTGCCATCGACTTGAGATCGCATTATCACCAGGTTAGTGTGCATGAAACAGATCGTGACAAGATTGCTTTTGGGACATATCGTTAAACGTGCATACCGTTCGGCTTAAAAAATGCGCCGTCGACCTTCCAACGGCTAATCGATCGATTCCGGAACAGATTGACCAAAGACAGCGGTACTAGAGAAGTTCTAGCGTACTTGGATGATCTTATTGTCCTGTCCAGTTCATGAGATGAGCACTTAGAGGATTTAAAACTAGTGATAGACTTGAACAGTTTAGGTTTCGGGCAAATCGCGTGTACACAAGTGAAGTATCTCACGCCACAAGGACCATGGATCTGAGACAAAACAGCAGTCATTGCTGAACGCCAAGCACCTCGAAACGTCCATGAGGTATAGTCTTTCCTTCAAACAGCGAGTCGGTAACGACGTTTTATAAAGAACTTCGCCGATATATCTCACCCACTCACTAAAACCAAAAAGGATACTAGTACGTTTGAAATGAGCACGATTCTTTTAACACCCCAAAGACCCTTTTGGTTACTGCACCGATTTTACAGCAATGTGACGAAACAAACCCATTTATTATCCGCAGGTATGCCCTCGGGGCTGTTGTCCTTCAAGGCGAAGAAAAAACTGTAACATCCTATAAGTACGCGAGTCGGCTCTCAAGTAGCACTGAGAGAAACTACTCAACTACCGAGCGAGAAGCATTCTTTGTTCACTAGTCAACATGATTTCCTGCAGGGGTATGATGTCTGGTTTAGTGATTTGTGGTATTCCAATAACTCTTCAACCTAAAGTTTCCAAGCTTGGAGTCCCTTGACATCCCAGGAGATTATCTTCAGTGGATGCTCGACGTCGTTGCTTGGATCAGGCCTGCACGTACCGAATTTTGGGCACTAAACAAATTTCAAGGCTACATAGAGTGTTCGCCAATCACCCTGCAGACAGATCATCAACTCTTGCGATGGCTGTATATATAAAATCGCCCACCGGCAAACTAGCTCGTCAGGCTTTACAAATTCAAAGTTTCGACCTGAAAATCGAGTATTTGCCAGGAAAAGGAAACGTCATTGCTGATATGCTCTCTAGACCGCCATGTCACCATCAACTCGAGAAGAATTGTGAAATCTGTACTATAGCTATTGAGTTACCGCACAGTAGTGCCTATGAAGTCAGAAAGAAACAGCCAAAATACCCTGATCTTGTCAAAATCATTCAATGTTTTGAAAATCCTGATGATACTGGCATGAACTTCCGTAAATGGATAGACAGAGGCTTTATTATGTCCCAGGAAGTTTTATACCGATACTCAGTTGAGGATGACTAGGATTAAACTCAGTTAGCTGTGACAGTGCACGAGCGAGTTCTGAAATAATATCATGACGCACCTAGCGCCGGGCACTATGGCTTAGAAATAACTTATCAACGGATCGCTAAAAGATATTATTTCCCTGGTATGCGCCGTTTCATCGCTGAATATCTTGAGAACTGTGTGGATTGTCAAAGATACAAGGCATCTAATCAAAAACCGGCGGTTCTTTTGCAAACACCTGCATATAATCGGCATTTTGAGATCCTAAGTACAGACTTATTTGGGCCTTTACCGCCAGAAGCCAGGGATGAACAGTGGATTTTCATTGTGGAGGACTCTTCCACAAAATGGGTGTACATACAGTGCATTTAATCATTTTGCCATGTTGAAATTGAACAAATTAACATCAAGATCTTTATACCGTTATTTGCTAGTATTTGAGGTTTTAAACAACATATTCAAAATCCCCATATGTCTGGATGTTGCAACATCAGAAAAAATTAGGTCAAAGGTCATGAAAATCGTTTTTTCGTAAAAATCTCGCTTCCAGTGCATCTGACGTCGGAGAATCCAAAACAAAACTTACGTAAAATAGCATTTTCTACAAAATTGCTAATATATATTTTTTTCGTATGACTAACCAGTTTCGAGATATAGTGTGATAAAGCGGGAGCGAGCATTCAAAATAGGTAATACTGTATTATACTGCGGAGCTACATCTATAAATGCATTTTTCCTATTCTGTTAGTCTGGAAGCTGAAACTAATTAATAACATAACATGCATAACTAAAGATATATTCTTTTCTGCGCCACTTTTGAAGTAGAATGCAAGGCGGGTTTTTTTTTGACATGGTATTCCCCAGAAGGCCTAATCGACCTTTCCGACACGCTTCGGGTTATTTCACCGCACGGCCCTGGCGACACCGCTGTCTTTTAACCTTGAACGAAAATTTCGAATTTGATCCGCATATACGAGAATATAAACATCTCCAATTTTAAAATTATACCACGAGGCCGTCAGGCCGAGTGGTATAATTTCTCGAGTGACTTAACACACGAGTGGCATACAATGTTTTTTCTAGTTTTGTGTCATATCGAAGTCTTTTCGACACTAAAAGTAGTTTCGAAAAGAACTTCTTTGTGACACTCCTTTTTTACTTATCGGAGGTTGGTAACACTGGCTGACTGATGACCATCGAACTGTCATTCGCGATTTTATAATAGAAGGTTTCTATATTTGGCATGTAGTGTTACCAACCTAGACATATGAAATCAGGAAATATGAGAATATAATTTCCAAGAAAAACTTGTTTTTTTTTTAATTAAACAATACCAAAATAGAAAAAATAGTATAAAATATTCGTTTCATAAGACATTTTATAAATGACGTCTTGGGGTCTTATGAAACTTGTATTTTAATGTACTATTATCCAACAACTGGGAGATCATAACACACGAGCAGCATACAAGAACTGAAAAAACTAACAGGTATTTTTTTGAGATCAGTCTTCTTCGAAGCAGGATTTATAAATTTTAATTTCCTGACGTTTTGCATTGTCGTTATAAGAGAGTGAGTTATAAACCATAACCCAATATTGGGTTATGGTTTATAACACTCTACTGTTATTTGATAGTTTACCTGTCTAAATTGGCACACACCCGCCTTGCATTCTACTTCAAAAGTGGTGCGGAAAAGAATGTATTTTTGGTTATGCATGTTATGTTATTAATTATTTATTTTATATATTTTACATCCTACATAACCATTATAACCATATAATAATATCTTGGTTACGATAATCATACACAAGGTCTTAACTCCCGCGCGGGAGTTGAGATTTCATAACTCCCGTGCGGGAGTTAAGGATTCTATAACTCCCTCTTTTACCTTAAATAGGTGAAACTTTCAGAAAAAATAATTAGAAATTTTGGTTTAAGGTTCATTCCCTTATAAAAATAGATGAAACACACTATTAAATTCAGTAGGAAATAAAATTATCTATGTAACTACCACGGGAATTATCAAATGTTCGTACCCACGGGCGATTGGTGTCCTAACTTTTCCTTGGGGTATAATAATAATTCTCTTGATAAAAAAATAGCTATTATTATAATTAAACAAATTCCTAACAATTTTATTATTGAAAATTTTATTGACAGATTAGAAAAAATGCATTTATAGCTATAGCTCCGCAGTATTATACAGTATTGCCTATTTTGAATGCTCGCTCTCGCTTTATCACACTATATCTCGAAAACGGTTACTCATGCGAAAAAAATGTATATTAGCAATTTTGTAGAGAATACTATTTTACGTAAGTTTTGTTTCGAGGTTCTTTGTTGTCAGATGCACTGGAAGCGAGAATTTTGCGAAAAACCGATTTTCATGACCTTTGACCTTATTTTTTCTGATTTTGCAATATCCAGACATATGGGGATTTTTTGTATGTTATTTGAAGATAAATTTACTACTAATTGCCGCTATCCTCATCTTGATATTAATTTGTTCAATTTCAAACCGTATTTGCACTGTACGTGGAACGAAAGAACAGGGATCTTAAGGTCAGGCTCGCTATACTTGTCAAAGAAGATCACGGAACTTGGCATGAACGGTTACCCATAATCAGATTTTTCATGCTTTGTGCGAATCCACCGGACAGACAGCTGCGTATTTGAGTTTTAGAAGAGAGTTGGGAAGCTTAGATGACGTGGAATTCGATATTCGCGCAGTTGTGGAGCAAATCACACACCCTACCTACGTAGAATGCCTTTGATTTGGAAGGACACTAGAAGCGCACACGAAAAGCAGCAAGATTGGTAAAAGCAGTATGGTGATGGAAAAGGGCGAGAAGTTCCCGTGTTTCAGTTAGGTGATAAAGTATGGATCACCGTTCATGCACTCAGTAATGCTGCAAAGGGGTAACATCAAAATTTTACCCAAACGTGACGTCCCATATGAGATCATCAAGATCAAGAAGTTTCTCCTATACCAGCTATCAAGTAGCCAATCCCGAAGATCCAACCGTGCCACTGGGTATCTATCATGTTGGAAGTTTGAGTCGTGCAAATGTAACTGAGGAAGAATCGCCAGTTGTCGCTTTAAGGAAGAGAGGCAGACCCAAAAAACAAAAAAGTACTTCTGGTCGCTCTTCGTCTACCAGACCAGGGGGGAAGTGCGTAACAAACAGACCTTGAGACGACCCTGGATTGCGGTACGAATGACAATCGGCCGAAAGGGGGAGACAGTAGTCATTCTGTTTAGTAGTAATTAATAAATTTATAAAACCTAAAAATATTGGCCAATCCTAGTTGTGATCACAACCGGTTTACACGGTCTTTTATACGAATAAAAATTATTTAATGAATTGCCTAAAATTTATTATAAGGCCCACAGGCCACCTTTTGTTTGAAACTTTATGAAATAATTTAATATTTGAAAATAAAAATAATCTATCTGCTTTTCCACCAAGTTGATATAGAAAGATTGCTCTTCATCCCTTATTAAAATTTCTCTATGAGTTAGGTACTTAGCTGGAACACGTGTTGTGTTACAAATCCGAGAATGGAAGCTATCTGTCAGGACATCCAGTTCCAAATCGAATCCAATAGGTTTTCTTTCTCTTTGAATGCCGATCGAATTGTCTATTTAATGGTTGTCAGTAGTTTTCTGTAATTCCATTACGTCGAACGGAAATCGACGCCATTATTTGTGTTGTTTCTTGTAGGCTGTTCATTTGTACTTGCTACCTGCTCGAAAAATCAGGAAGATCTGCTATTTATGAGCTTATTATATGGGAGTTATGGGACAAGTGAACGCCGATCAGCTGCTGAGATTTGCTTGAAGCAAGAGAAGCAGTTCAAATGAACAGCCTAATAGAGAGTGTTTTTTCAGCTTACGATTATTTTTTTAGGAGTCATGAGCTCTGCTCCAACCGACGTGAGAACCGTTCTAGAAAGGCGATTTAATAGAAATTTTGTATGATAAAAAATTCATAATAACATTTCTGAGCCTGAGATTGACTCGCTGTTTGTTTTCTTCGATAGAAAGACCATACTCAATAAATCCTGAAAGTTTGAAGTCCCTCTGATATCTTTGAAGTATTTATCTTTTGGCCAGTTGAGGGTATCCTTTTTAACAAAGTGCATTTTTTACGATGTGATTCCAAGATAATTGAGAAAAATTATAGGTACTGTTATGTAGGTACATAATGTAAATTCAATTCATTATAAAATAGTACACAAACTGTAAATACATTTAAATCCACCGCGCTTTTCAAAAAGTCATCAGGATGTCAGTTACGTCACGAATGGTAGGGGTGAAGCGCATGCATTGAAGAAGAGGACCCAAGTCCGAGCGGAGAGCCAGTCGACAAACACATCGCGAAGCGGGTACGCGCAGCCATTTTGTCATCTCACCATTTCTTGTCTTGTCGGTTAAAAAATTATGCACAGGTCTCATCGGGCATTTAATACAGTCCACTTTTATTGAATAATGCAAAGAACATAACATACATTTTTGTAAAGTAGAAAAACCAGGCTTTCTGACGATGACAAAATATATAGGGTTTTTCATTGAAAATAAGGCAGTAATTTCATTAAAAAAAATCGCATGTCTGTAAAACCAATTTTCAGCAAATTTTAGGATTTGGAAATAAGTACTGTGAAGAAAATTTTTATTCTCTCGGAACAATCCGCATATCGTTATCATTTCTCGTTTTAGAGATATTTACCTGTAAAATATGTCAGTTTATCTAATAGTTGGGGAGCTGGCGTCAAAAACATGCAAGAGTTTTCGCAAGGCGGATATTTTCAAAATAGGTCGTACTTTAGTGCTAGAATGCTAGTGTACAGTCAGCACTCACAGTTCCGGGACAGCTGGCTCTGGGACGCGGGCAAAGTTGTGATTTTAAGAAGCATCTAAACTGTTTTCTCAAAGCTCAAAATTTATAGAAATTTTGCACATTATCTGTTTGAAGGTCACAGATAAACGTATGTAAATCGTCAGACGTCTAGTTCGTTGCAAAAAGGGGGTCAGACATCCTCAAAGTTCTTATTTTATGGCATTTTCTTCGGTGTCCTGTCAAAATATATTTTTGCAGGTATTTGACAAATATATTTGAAGAAAATGCCATAAAATAAGAACTTTGAGGACGTCTGACCCCCTTTTTGCAACGAACTAGACGTCTGACGATTTACATACGTTATCTGTGACCTTCAAACAGATAATGTGCAAAATTTCTATAAATTTTGAGCTTTGAGAAAACAGTTTAGATGCTTCTTAAAATTACAACTTTGCCCGCGTCCCAGAGCCAGCTGTCCCGGAACTGTGAGTGCTGACTGTACACTAGCATTCTAGCACTAAAGTACGACCTATTTTGAAAATATCCGCCTTGCGAAAACTCTTGCATGTTTTTGGCGCCACCTCCTGGACTATAAGGACACTCTGTATTTTGAATAGAGAGCTACTAAAAAAAACTCCTTTTCCGAAAAAATTCTTTGATTTATACTCTACATCGTTAAAGCGCAACGTCGGATAAAACTTATCCACTTAGATCAGTCATTAATCAGGCCATCGGTCGGAAATTCGAAAAATTGTCTCTGGGAAAATTATAGGACAGCCTTAATCCTGAAATCTATTAGTTAGCGGGAAGCACAATAGGGATCTAACTAGGACGTAGTGCTGAGAAAGATCGATACATACATACACCCTGTTTCGCCCCATAACACAGGTTGTCCTACAAAAAAACTCACCAATAATGTAGATCCCATTGAATATTGATAATTCTCATCCGCTTCAAATAACTATGACAGAATCTAGAAAAGTACCTACCTTTGATCGAAGCTGTCTCCAGGATTACTTTTATAACCGCTATCGTTCATGCTACTCTCCTGACGTAAAGATGGTAAAGAGTCCCACGGAGCTCTTCTGTGTCCGGTCGTATTGGGTCCTTGAGCTGAGCTAAAAGTTGAGCTTCCAGACCTCCATCCGTCTGAATGCCTGAACCATTGAGCTCGGCTCGATTCGCCTATACACGACGCACATCGAGAACTAAAAGAATTTTTAATTTTATTTCAATACTTGGTTTTTTTAATAAAGACTTACTTTGCATTGTGGTCACTCAAATATCCCCGGTCTCTTTCACGATCTTTTTCTCTTTCTCGCAATAACTCGTTACGGTCGCTGTAGTAACCGTCTCTTTCTCTATCGCGTTCCCTTAAGCCTAATCGCTGATTGAATGGAAGAGTTGTGGATTTCATTGAAGCACTAGAAGATGGGCCTGAGAAAAACAAATTTGGAATTTCAATAAAAAATAACAAGTCAGTAGCAAAGTTGGATGATAAATCGCTGCGCCAAGATCATTATCGTAATGTCTTGCTTTTTATCTTATTACTCCTATCAATTGATTTGTGGTCTTTATTCAAACTAGGTCACTTCAAAGGCACCAATTTGTCTCATTTTTCACTGTCTATATCTTATAAGAATTATTATAATCACATAAAACTACGAGCCATGTTAATAAACCTCAACAAAAGTTAGATGCCCAAATACAAAACTCATGAAATTAAATATTTATATTATTTTCCAACACATCCAACTTTATATTTTGTAATTTATACCCTCTTCCAGTGTTTGAAGTAGATATTATGAAGTTAATTTTTAATGGTGAAACGTGCGTTGGAATTAATTGTGGCTCTCAAAATTTCTGCACGCAATAATTATCCAAATCCTACTTACGTTTTCTGGCATATGGACTCCTTTGATTCGATCCTGGAAGACTTTCTGCAAATTCTGGTGATACAATTTACAAGTGAGTTTAATTTGAAATTGATTTTGAATAGAATTTTACCCAAATTTTCCATGCTCTGTGTAAGTAAAGCTTCAAACGTGTGCAAACTGTAACTTTCCGCATCCATACCTTTGGCCAACGTATTTCTCAGGTGCATTTCGTATTCTAGAAGTAGTCGGCTTGTTGGGGAACCTGGTGTAGAGTTAATACTGGAATTCTGCGGAACAAAAATACAGAAATTATAACTTATTAAAGTAGGTATATGGTTTATATATAAATTTATACCATTTTCGCATAGATTACAAAGCAGTAAGACAATTAGTAGAGTGACACAGTTGCCAACATAATGTAAAATTTGAAATGATATTCTTGTTCTATAAATATTTAGGCCTAACGACAAGGAAGAAGAGGAACGTAAGAGTATTTTTGGAAATTCTAAAAGAATCTTTAATGTATTTAGTTTTATATCAGGAAGAGATACTTAAGCACATACTTAATTTTAGATTTGTCCACCAAAAAATAGATCTGCTATGAGATTGTGTTGCAATTTTCCTTCAACTTTGTGAGAAATGAGAAATAAAAAGGAATGACATATCCCTTATTATCGTTATTTTTGGTAGACACGAAGAATCTTATTGGATACAACTAAAATAATTTCAAAGTCGTCAATACCTGTCGGTGAAGTCGCCGTCTTCCGAAATGCTGAGTTTGCTCCATGTCCGAATTCCCATTACTAGAACTCGGCGTGGTAGCATAACATTGATTATCAAAGATGACATTATCAGAAGGTGGCGAAAAATCTCCTGCCGCTCCACGTTCGAGTTCCAAGTACAACCCTCTACCAGGATAACCTCTACCAATCTCGTGAGAAGATCTAGAAAGATTGATTTAGGAACATCTTCACTAGAGTCAAAAGTTCTTACCGTGAACTGGAAAATCTAGAATTCGGCCCTAAAGATGATCGGGCGTTCATGTTGGGATCAGGTTCCGAATAACGGTTGTTATTGTTGTTATTTATGTGTCGTGGTTGGTGATGGTTGTAATAGTGATACCGTTTCCTACCCATTTCTGGAGAGGTGACGGGGCTCTCTTGACTTGGCATTGGTTTAAGCATACGTTTTAGGGTGTTACTGTCCAAACTCATACCATTTTCTCTGTGGAAAATAAATAATATTGAATGTGCCTATTTAGTAATTGCTCAACATACCTATTCATATCTTCAGAACTCTTTGACTTGTTCCTTCTTGACTGCAAATTATTACTAACATTATTATGCATGTGTCCGCTTCGGAATTCTGGATCTCGGCTCATTTCCATATCCGAATAGTCCACAGATTTGGCATTGCTCAATATGTGATGTTCTTTTTTCGTAGAAGCACTTGCTGTTTTGGTTGATGTTGATATTGTTTCGCCTCCCGCTTGGGTACTTTCAGATTGTTGTTGTTGGTCGGTGGTTTGTGATTGAGATTCAGTCTGGTGGTTTACCTAGGAAATTCCAGATATTCAAATAAATAGAAGATAGATCGAGAGATGGCGACGGTTTTACTTTCAGTGCATTTTCACAAGGATTTTTGCTCTAGACTTTCCGGTCTATCAACTGATGGTTTTGGGTAGGTAAAATCTATCATGAAACCAACAAGCAACAAGCTTTACAAGCCCCAGGGGACTTTATTCTCGAAACCGAGGAACAGTGTTCTTATGAGAACGATTGCTTTGTCATTGTCAGTGTTATGTAAATATGAATACGGACGACGTAGACAGAACCTTCGTTCTCATGAGAACGCTACTCCCCTGTTCCGAGAATAAAGTCCCAGGACTTTGTTGAGAGGAAATTTCTTGAAGCAAGATTCCAATCAGTAGAAGCAATAAAAACTATACAGAGTGAGAGAGATGAAATCGATTATTGTTTATTCCCGGCTCTTGAATTCACCTCAGTCATGAACAAATTGATTGACAAACGACGTTTTTGATGTTTATTTATTAACTCCTGTTACACAGAAATTAGTGTAGAGTGTGAAAGAGATAGAACCATTACAAGGTAAAGAAACTATACAGTGAGAGAGATGGAAACGATTTTTTTCTTTTCCTGATTCTTGAATTCAACTCAACTCAACTGAGCAAATTTATTGACAAACAATGGGTACATTCAGGCGGTCCCAGCGGCTAAGCTCAGCCACTCAGCAGGGACTTTATTCTCGAAACCAAGAAAAAACGTTCTCATAAGAACGATTGCTCTGTCATTGTCAGTGTTATGCCGGACGACAAAGACAAAACCTTCGTTCCAATGAGAACGCTGCTCCCCTGTTTCGAGAATATAGTTCCTGCTGAGTGGCTGAACTAAGCCGCTGAGACCGCCTGAATATACCCAATGTTTAATTCAATGTTTACCTGTCAACTCCTGTTACAGAGAAATTAGTGTCAAGTGTGAGAGAGATAGATTCATTACTAGGTATTAAAAGCTATACAGAGGGAGAGAGATGAAATCGATTTTTGTCTATTAACAGCTCTTGAATTTAACTCAGTTATAAACAAATTGATTGACAAACGAAGTTCAATTCAATGTATATCTGTCAACTCCTGTTACAGAGAAATTAGTGTCAAGTGTGAGAAAGATAGAACCATTACCAGGTAACAAACTATACAGAGAAAGAGAGATGAAATCGATCAATTCATAAATCCTGAAAGTTTCAAGTCACTGTTATCATTAAAAGTATTTTGCACAAGTGATTTTTGCACATTGTAATCATTTTTGCATGCATTAACGTATGAAAAAGATTCCAAATTCAGTTTGGAGCTTCAAATCAACTTCAAATGAACTTTTTCACAAAGAGGAAACTTCAATTCATAAATCCTGAAAGTGTTAAGTTACTGTGATTTTTATTTTTAGAAGTATTTTGTACAAATGGATTTTTGCAGATTTTAATCATTTTTGCATGCATTAACGTAAGCAAAAGCTAACAAATTTAGTTTGGAGCTCCAAATCAACTTCAAAATAACTTTTTCACAAAAAGGAAACTTCAATTCATAAATCCTGAAAGTTTCAAGTCACCTTGATCATTAGAAGTATTCTGCACAAGTGATTTTTGCAGATTTTAATCATTTTTACAAGCATTAACGTGAGAAAAAGCTTCCAAATTTAATTTAGAGCTTCAAATCAATTTTCAAATTAACTTTTCCACAAAGAGAAAACTTCAATTCATAAATCCTGAAAGTTTCAAGTTACTGTGATCATTAGAAGTATTTTGCACAAGTGGATTTTTGCAGATTTTAATCATTCTTGCATGCATTAACATAAAAAAAAAGTTCCCAAATTTAATTTGAAGCTTCAAATCAACTTCAAATTAACTTTTCCATAAAGAGGAAACTTCAATTTTCAATTCATAAATCCTGAAAGTTTCAAGTCGCTGTGATCATTAGAAGTATTTTGCACAAGTGATTTTTGCAGATTGTAATCAGTTTTGCATGCAATAACGTAGGAAAAAGCTTCCAAATTTAGTTTGGAGCTTCAAATTAACTTCAAATGAACTTTTTTACACATAGGAAACTTCAATTCATAAATCCTGAAAGTTTCAAGTTACTGTGATTTTTATTTTTAGAAGTTCTTTGCACAAATGAATTTTTGCAGATTTTAATCATTTTTGCATGCATTAACGTAAGCAAAAGCTTCCAAATTTAGTTTGGAGCTCCAAATCAACTTCAAAATAATTTTTTCACAAAAAGGAAACTTCAATTTATAAATCCTGAAAGTTTCAAGTCACTATGATCTTTAGAAGCGCTTTGCACAAGTGATTTTTACAGATTTTAAACATTTTTGCATGCATTAACGTAAGAAAAAGGTTCCAAATTTAGTTTGAAGCTCCAAATCAGCTTCAAATTAACTTTTCCATAAAGAGGTAACTTCAATTCATAAATCTTGAAAGTTTCAAGTTGCTGTGATCATTAGAAGCACTTTGCACAAGTGATTTTTGCAGATTTTAAATATTTTTGCATGCATTAACGTGAGAAAAAGCTTCCAAATTTAGTTTGGAGCTTCAAATCAACTTCAAATTAACTTTTCCACAAAGAGGAGACTTCAATTCATTAATCCTGTTACAGAGAAATTAGTGTCAAGTGTGAGAGAGATAGAAAGATTACCAGGTAACAAACTATACAGAGGGAGAGAGATGAAATCGATTTTTGTCTATTTCAAGCTCTTGAATTCTCTGAATTTGAAGAAATTTAAAAGCTGGGAACAGACAAAAATTAAAAAGGAATAGTTAAACGAGAAAATTAATAAAAATTGAAAATTGAGGAAACTTTGAGAAGAAACTGGTTGATAAGCAGAAATACAAGGATTGTTTCTATTCCAGGCTCTGAAATTCTCTCAATTTAAGAAAATTTGAAGAAATCCAAGAGCCGGGAAAAGACAAAAATTGAAAAGGAACATCTAAATTAGCGAGAAAATTAATGAGAATTGAAAATTGGGAAGCATTTGAACAGAAACTATGGTTGATTAGCAGCAATACAAGAATTTGCTCTATTCCAGTATAACTTAAAGTCCCTCTATTTAGGGAAATTTGAAGAAATTCAAGAGCAGGGAATAGACAAAAATAAAGGAAGAATAAATGAGTGAGAAATTTTATGAGAATTGAGAAAAATTTGAGAAGAAACTGGTTGATAAGCAGAAATACAAGGATTGTTTCTATTCTAGGCTCTTAAATTCTCTCAATTTAAGAAAATTTGGAGAAATTTAAGAGCCGAGAATAGACAAAAATTGAAAAGGATCTAAATGAGCGAGGATATTAATGAGAATTGAAAATTGAGAAAAACTTGAGGAGAAACTATGGTTGATAAGCAGCAATACAAGAATTCACTCTATTTCAGTATAACTTAAAGTCCTCTATTTAGAGAAATTTGAAGAAATTCAAGAGGAAATAGACAAAAATAAAGAAAGAATAAATGAGCGAGAAAATTTATGAGAGTTGAAAATTGAGAAAAATTTGAAAAGAAACTGGTTGATAAGCAGAAATACACGGATTGTCTCTATTCCAGGCTCTTGAATTCTCTCCAAATGACGTCACTTTAGAGTCAATTTTGGTTCGCGATGTCATCTCACCAAAATATGACGTGATCTATGACCTTACTGTCACATACATAAACGTCATGTCATGATCAAACTGACGCATTTTTGAGGACGTCAATTGTACTTACCTTACCATATTTCAAATACGACATGGCTGACGTATTTATGACTTTTTTATAATTGTAAACTATAAGTCTTTGCCCAGTGGCGGATGCACGGGGAGGTGAAGGGGTTTATTACCCTCCCCCCTCCCAGAGAGGCCTAAGAAAATTTCGATTATCAAAAAAACACACAAATTATTTTTTGGAGGGTTAAAATGCGCTTTGGGCGTGGCACCCGAAAAAAAATTTTGCCCTTCAAGTATAGACCACGAGCCGTTAGAGGTCGAGAAGCTCTACTCCCCCTAGAATGGTGCTATAGATCCGCCACTACCATCATAAGTCGAAATTTGGTATATGGAAACGTCTAAAGACAATATAGGTATTGTTGAGATACTACCTAAGATAAAACCGCCGGCAAGTCTCAGACCAAGTTTGTTTTGGAAGAAGCTCGAATCAAAAGTGTAGGTATTCTTTGTCCAAACTTACCTGTGTTTCAACATTATTTTCCGTCCCGACAGAGGCGGTTACAGTCTTAGGACAAGTTGAGCTATTTGATGTCATTGTGCTTGTATCGGATTGGGGCTGCACACCCCTATCTCGAGTCTGTTTCGTTTGGCTCCCTTCTCTTTGGTTGATTTTAATACCTTAAAAATTTTTACCACCTAAGCATTTTTTTAATAATTTATTTCCAGTTTTACCTGGCAATGAAGATGTTTGTGTTGCCCCAATGTTATCATAAAGACTCGTAGACGAAGTAGCAGCAGCTATTTTCTCTATTTTTCCTTCAGTTTCTGGCATTCGAGTGGCTCGAGGAAGCGTTGAGGATCCTAAACAACAATTATGTGAAAACATTAGCCAAAAATACTCAAAATTCTTACCTCGATATCGAGGATCCTGGGCTCTCAACCTGGCATACTGCTCTGCAGTCATGCAGGTGCATTGTGGTTCTCTCGAACCTCTCGAAGGCGATGCTGGAGTGCTCAGAGGTTTTCGTTTTTGTTTGAATTTCTGCTTGCTCGGAGGATCGAGCTTGAGTGAGTAAGAAGACGAAGCCTTTCGGGAAAATTTGAACGATGGAGACTGGAAAAAATCGGACTAATATTCGAATAATCATCGTTGCATTATCAAATTTTCATGTATTTGTTTTATAATTTTTTGAAAGATATTGAGAAAAATTAGACCACAGATCTGTAGATTTCAACTATACCATACTGGTAACTGTTGAAGTTGGAATCTAATTCACTATTCTTGTGGATTTAAATATAAATGAAAAAATCATAAAATATAGAAGGAATCGCTTCATCAAATGATAAAAAGGTGGATGGAAAGTGAATATTCAAATATTTTTCTTTAGAATTGTATTTTGTAAGAACCAAAATACTTACACAGCATTCTCTAAATTGTTTAGCATCGATAGGTGAAGTAAAGTTAAGACCCCACGTGTCATTTGTCATAGGATCTTTCCAATAAACGAAACATTCGGAAGCTTGACCTATTCTTGTACCTGAAACACATACAATGAATCATGCAAACATTATTGATGAAATCCAATTCTCACCAGGTTGCACTAATCGAACATCGAGAATTTTATCGACCTGCGAATTGTAGGCCGTAATGTGAAAAACACACTCTGGCGAATCCTGGATACAAGTTATGTTGACTGGCACCAAGTCCTCGCTCACTTGTTGCCATTTGAATTGTCCACCGCCGCTGGCTGATACGTGGAAAACCTCTGCCCAGAGACTATAAAGAAATCAGCTTTATTAACAATTGAAATGAAACATTGGAAGAAACTTACCGAAGTAGATGTCCATCTCGTCTTCTGGACGTTTGCCATGGTGAATCGTCATACCTGTATGCCTATAAGATTTTTTTGATAATAAGTGATGTTAATTTTGAGTCGTGTATCGGTTACCTTTCTAATAAGTGGTGCACATGAGCAGCTCAATTTGTTGCCCATCCCCTGCAACGTTCCTGCTGGGCACTGGCACCGTTGATGTCACCACATATCACCTCCTCCGAAGTCGTTGCTTCGATTGCTGTTCCACTGGGTGCTGCGCACGTTCCTGTTCAGCGACTGGGATCGTTGGTGATGGGTGGAAAACTGTTTTGGATGTTTGTGCTGAGGAAAAAAGAACAAGTTTACTTTATCAAAAATCAAAAATTCTTATCGTTATTCGTAAAAATGATATGCATGGTAACAATTATTATGTACAAAATAAATTGAGATAAACCTTGCGTTCGGTATTTTGCTCAAAGTGTAGAGCGAGCTGAGCGGAGCCGTAATCACGTGACCAGCGAGCGAACGGAGCAGTTGAACGCTGTATATAAGTACCGGAAATTTTAATAAACGAACGCGAATGAGGCTGCACCTAGTACACTTTTTAAATAAACGAACGGTAAAGTCAAGCTCGGAGAACTCAGACCAAAATAACGAACGCACGGAAAATAAAACGCTTTGGATCAAGGAAGTGATGGATTAGAAAAACATTTTTGGGCAGAAGCCTTTAACAATACGACATTCGTTTTAAAATGAAACAGGGTTAAGATCAATGAAAAATATATAAGGGGTAAACCTCCTTGGAATTATAGTGTACCATCGTATCTGAAACAAAAATAATTCATAATAATCTCCTGGACTAATTCTACCATCATTCATTTTATTCGTAGTTTGACGAACATTTGACACTAAAAATCATATAATAGTACAAGAGCTAATATGATGCTGTCCCATTTACTTTTGGTGAGGATGGTATAGTCTTTTTAAATTCAGTTGAAGCAAGGAAAAGGTAAATTACAACTGGTGATTGAATACTTTCATAAGAAATACACTGCCACTAGTCACCCACCAGTTGCATTTTTTTTACCTTGTGTTTCAATTGACTTTACAAAGACGTGGGAGTCCAGTGGAATTTCAGATTCTCGACGAGAGGGTCAAAAATGAGTAGAACTTCTGAAAGTTTCAAGTCACTCTGCATGCATTAACGTAAGAAAAAGCATCCAAATTCAGTTTGGAGCTTCGAATCAACTTCAAATTAACTTTTCCATATGAAAAAGACTAATAGATTATTCCTGAAAGTTTCAAGTCACTGTGGTCATTGGAAGTATTCTGCACAAGTGATTTTTGCATGCATTAACGTGAGAAAAAGCTTTCAAATTTAGTTTGGAGCTTCAAATCCACTTCAAATGAACTTTTTCAAAAAGAGGAAACTTCAATTCATAAATCCTGAAAGTTTCAAGTTACTGTGATTTTTTTGGTTGGTTGGTTTTAACTCCAGGGTAAGCGTGTCCAGTTGCTATGTTTACTTCGGAGTTATGCTTAACCCGGAGTAACTCGCTATTGAGAAAACGGCCCTTAGAAGTATTTTGCCATGATTTTTGCAGATTTTGATCATTTTTGCATGCATTATTGTAAGCAAAAGCTTCCAAATTTAGTTTGGAGCTCCAAATCAACTCCAAAATAACTTTTACACAAAAAGGAAACTTCAATTCATAAATCCTGAAAGTTTCAAATCACCGTGATCATTAGAAGTATTCTGCATAAGTGATTTTTGCAGATTTTAATCATTTTCACAAGCATTAACAACATGAGAAAAAGCTTTCAAATTTAATTTGGAGCTCCAAATCAATTTCAAATTAACTTTTCCACAAACAGGAAACTTCAATTCATAATTTCTGAAAGTTTCAAGGGTCAAGTTACTATGATCATTAGAAGCGCTTTACACAAGTAATTTTTGCAGATTTTAAACATTTTTGCATGCATAAACGTAAGAAAAAGGTTCCAAATTTAGTTTGAAGCTCCAAATCAGCTTCAAATTAACTTTTTCACAAAGAAGTAACTTCAATTCATAAATCCTGAAAGCTTCAAGTTGCTGTGATCATTAGAAGCACTTTGCACAAGTGATTTTTGCAGATTTTAATCATTTTTGCATGCATTAACGTGAGAAGAAGCTTCCAATTTAGTTTGGAGCTTCAAATCAACTTCAAATTAACTTTTCCACAAAGAGGAGACTTTAATTCATAAATTCTGAAAGTTTCAAGCTGCTGTGATCATTAGAAGCACTTTGTACAAGTGATTTTTGCAGATTTTAATCATTTTTCCATGCATTAACGTAAGAGAAAGCTTCCAAATTTAGTTTTGACCTTCAAATCAACTTCAAATTACCTTCTCCACAAAGATGAAACTTCAATTCATAAATCCTGAAAGTTTCAAGACACTGTGATCATTAGAAGTATTCTGCACAAGTGATTTTTGCAGATTTTAATCATTTTTCCATGCATTAACGTAAGAGAAAGCTTCCAAATTTAGTTTTGACTTTCAAATCAACTTCAAATTACCTTCTCCACAAAGATGAAACTTCAATTCATAAATCCTGAAAGTTTCAAGACACTGTGATCATTAGAAGCACTTTGTACAAGTGATTTTTGCAGATTTTAATCATTTTTGCATGCATTAACAGAAAAAAAAAGTTCCCAAATTTAGTTTGAAGCTTCAAATCAACTTCAAATTAACTTTTCCATGAAGAGGAAACTTCAATTCATAAATCCTGAAAGTTTCAAGTCACTGTGATCATTAGAAGTATTTTGCACAAGTGATTTTTGCAAATTTTAATAATTTTTGCATGCATTATTTCAAAAACTCCTAATTTTTATATCAGAACGACTTATTAATGAGTTAATTGCTGCGGAACTCGTTCTGCTCATTCCGCAGGGATTCACAAATGTAATTTTTACTCATTAGTAGGATTCTGGTAAAAGTGGGATTCTGGTTTACCTACATACTATTTTTCAAGGTAGTTTACCCCTTACATCCTACCATTATAGCATAGAAACGTTTGAAAAACGTATCCAATCGGACGTTAGAACGTTATAAAATAAAAACGTCAGTTAAAGTAACTGAAAACGTCCAATGGTCCAAAATGTCACAACTTCAAACGTCATATGGATTCAAGAACGGACTTTTTCAAAAACACCTTTCACGAACGTTTTAAAAGAACTTTGGAAAACCAAGATGTTTTTCCAAATGTCATTTAGACGTCCACCAACATAAATCTTCACCCATAGACAGCACACAAAGTCTTAAAGACGTATTTTTTGGGTCTGCATTACGTCTGAACGTCTGAAGACCAAAAAAGGACGTTTAGAAGAAATGTCCATAAGATATCGTAAATTCACCTCTTAAACACAACTATTTCGTACAACCAGGCCTAAAACTGAATATTTAATGGTTTATGTATTGAAAAGAGATTCAAAGACGTCTTTAAGTCATCTCGTTGAAGATGCCTTTAAAGTGTCTTAGTCCTAAAGACGACTTTAGACTGATGTCTTTAAGACACCTTACAGGCGTAAGCAAGACGTCTTGAATGCCGTTAAGGACGTCTTTAAGATGTCTACAAAAATTTCCCACCAAATTCGTTTCTCATTCAATGTAGAAGTTACGGCAAACCATTTAGAATGCTACAGAACACTTTAGAACTTCAATAAGCCGTTTGGTGTTAAGTATATAAATCTAGAATGGTAGTTTAATGACCAATCGCGTAAGGAGAAAAGAGAAAAGTGAAAAAGGTAGAACAACAAAATAGCAGCTGTAAGTAGTCTTCGTGTGTCAATTTCAGAAGCAAATAATTTCAACACTACTAGAGAACAGTGTAATGATGACATCAAAAATGAACCGCCAGCATCGACCGCACCACTTGAGGAGCAACAGAAATTCAAGAGACTTGATGCTAAAGCGAACTAGTCCATAATCGTCCAGGGTGTGTCCGATAAGCATTTGGATATTGTTAAACATTGTGTTACTGCTGAAAGTCAATTACAAGCTCTTAAGGACATGTTCGTTAGAACAAGTTCATTCACTAAATTATTTTTGTGGAGAAAACTGTTCAGTTTACGCTCAGGAATAAATGAAAGCTTAAAGGACCATTTCTGGAAATTCGATTCAATATTCAATAATACGTAACGTCAAAGATTTAGGATGATAGTGATCGTGTGTGCCACTTCCTTATATCACTGCCATCTAAATTTGATACAGTAGTAACGGTCTTAGAAACCGTTAGTGATGGGAAAATGGATTTTGTTAAGGCCAGGCTGCTAGATGAAGAGCTTAAGCTAGGATCTAGACTTGCCAATGAAAAGAGACAATAACATGTTTGTGGTAGCAAATACCATTTTCAAGCAAATTGTCCCAAAAGAAATGATGGAAGATTTCACAATAATTCAGGAGGAATCTCAGGAAATCAAAATAGAGGATATTTTGGAGGAAATTATTCTAGACGTCGGTCGTAGACTTGGTTTTAGATTTAATTTAGGACAAAACAGACAACAAGCAAATAGTGCTGATCAACAAGTTGTTTTTTTTCGCTGCTAATTTCTGTGACACAGATGTAAATATTGGTTTCACTAGCTTTATATTAGACTCAGAAGCTATAGTATTCACTTTGTGAAAGAAATTCTTGGAACCTTATATGACAAACGACAAAACATTAACAATCACATGTCGATTCACATAGCAAATGGTGAAATTTTAAAGTCAAGCAGGCTAGGAAAATAAAGTGCTAAGTGTCAGGGTCAGAGTATTGTCATTGAAGCCCTGATTGTTCCAAATTTGAAACATAATCTCATGTTAGCTTCAAAAATAAATGAAAAAGGACACAAGATAATGGTAACAAAACAAAACCCAAAAATTTTTGGACCCAATTTCTCTCCTAAGGGCCGGTTTATCAATCAAGGGATAACTCGCAGAGTTTGCTGACCCTGGGTTAACTTTAACTCTAGGCTAACTACCTAGTTAAGTCGAAAGGTATTTATCCAAGCTTTTTAAACCAAGGGCTGGTAAACTCTCGGGTTCTTCGAAGGTTGGCGTTACTTATAAAACGTTGCCAGCTCACTATAATTGCTTTTTTGAAATTTTCTGCTCATAACCTTACTTATTTATGTTATTTTTTTCTTTTTTTAATTTTCCATAGGTGGGCATTCATACGAAAGTAGTATGCGACGTGCGACTTGCTGCTAAAAAGCAGGGAGCACGTTGCAACTTGCGTTTTCCATGTTACCATTCATAATTCATACCAAAGTCGCACAATGCTACCATATTTATCGACACTCCTCTACGAAACAAGTCAA